CGGAATAATACTAGTAGAGACCTCTCTTAGAAAACCGCACGTATACACCCAATAACTATCGATCACTTGACCTATTCATCTGAAATGAATAACTTTGTGTTGGAATGTTTGGCATGATAAATACTAAGAATTTCATTTATGCAGAAACGCGGACGGCATTTTAGGCGATTCACAAGAGATCTTACTAGCTTGATTGGATGCAAATTAAGGTTAAATTAATATTACCATACCATAATATCATGGGTGTAACCGTAGTCATAACCATAATGGTATTTAATGTTACCGATCATTTGTGCCCTAAACACAACAGCTTAGTGGTTCGTAGTTTGTACTCTACCGTGGCCTGACCAATATCCCAAATGATAAATAAATAAAATATATTTCCAGTTGTGGTCGACCCTCGGCAGGCAGTGTCAAGCCCTCTGAGAGCATTTCTGTTATGAAAAAAAAGGTCTTCACAAAAACCCAACTGCCAGTAGAAGCTCGGCCGAAAATCGCTTCAGCGGTTACAAAGCCAATTATGTAATCACAAACAGCTGATATCTTCATACATGTTGTTATCCTCATTTCAAAAGTTGTTGTCTATATGGATATGGTTATGGCTGCACTAATTTAACCTTTATTTAGATGCACATATCTTAATTTCGCTTTAAATAAATAAATTGCACGCTTTCACATAAAAAAAACTTGCACTTATTTTTATCGTGCTTAACGTACCGCCCTCGTCGCATATATATTCTGTGAGTTCATTTCTCTTGCCGCTACAATTCATTACATTTTTCCTACTCTTTATGTTTTAATAAATATTTATGGGCTTGTGAATTTGTGTGTACAAATTAAAGAATGTAAACGCAACTGTTTCGATTATAAATATGTATATATGAAGTATCGTCTATATACACGTACATATTTCTCTTCGAATACTATTTATGTGCGCTGGCTTATGTATTGTATGTACATAATTCCCATCTGGACAGTTTCTTAATTTGTCTGATTGTAAATTAGCCTAGTGACCTATCGATAACGGCATTGAGATATTTTAATTAACAGATAAATATATGTATAGTATATATGTAGGTCTGTAAGCGTGTGCTTTGTAGCAAATAAATAAGTGCAAACACAAAAAAGTCCTTGCGTGTTTCTGCTCAGACTTCACTGGGCATACATAAGGGAATTTTTCGTCTGGTTTTTTTCTGCATTTAAAATTATTTTCAAGTTGATTAATAATTTTATATATTTGTACATGTGTGTATTATATGCGTTAAATAAAGCATCGCATATTTATTTACTTAAGGGAGACCATAAATAATTACCAGTCTAGGTCAAGGTCAGCACACAATTTATGGCGCAGATATACGCCAATAAAAAATTAAAAAAAAAAATCGAACACATAACGGTGTTTACCTCTGTTTTTCATTTTGTTTTTGTTCAACCGATTTATCAAACTTTAATGATTTTTTAATTGCCCGCCGCGTGTTATTTTCCTCGCTCCGAAAGATTATGCCTTCCAGTTGGAAGTAAAAAAAAAAAAATAAAAAATCATTAATATTAACTTCTTATTTTTAATTTTCTATTAATATTGAGTCTACTTGTCTATTATTGTCTTGTCTTGTCTAGCTCATCTGCTCAGATTAGTTAATTTAATTAAGAGACCAAGTCAGAGAGTGAATGAATTTCCAAAAGGTGTACATAGTTCAAACAACGGAAATAATGGAGGGTGTCAGATCTAGATTATAATTACAACGAGAAGAGATCTCTTTACTTTTGTAAATATTTTTTTTAATCTGTCAAAAGTGGGGTCTCTCATTCTTCTCTTTTTTTGGTATTTAAAATGAAACACCAGTATATGGCGAACACGATTCTTCAATCGATGATGATAGACAAATGTTTCATTGGTCAACTATGAAGAAATTCGTATAGCAATCGTTCGCTTGAAGAACAACATAGCGCCGGTGATGTGGTACAATTCCTTTGCGCGATATGGCCGGCTGAATGAAGTGATGCCCGATGATTGGTGCCTAACTGTGATCTGCCCAACCGAAAAAAAGGGATTCCTACAGCCTGCGCCAAAGTCTTAGCCAGCGTGTTGTATGAAAAACTGAAGTTGTTGTTGTTGTTAAAGTTGTTCTCTTGTTGTTATTAATGTAGCGGCTCGGTAATCTAACTTAGGAGTAGGCAAAGGTAATCGATGTTGACGAGGTGATTCAAGAGTAGATCCAAGAAACGGGTTTATTGTGTGGAGTGAAGAAGTGACTACTCTCGTGAGAAATCCTTTCGTGATGAACATGAGTTGAGTTCAGTTGATGCGGTTGTTGATCAAAGCGACCAGCGCACTTAGACTTGAAGGCCCATTTCATACCACCGGGGCGCACTAATCACCTACTTGAATGTGCTTTATAAACGTTGCAATATTACCTATTCCAGTTGCTACTTCATAAAAGAACGGATATCCTAGAAACATATAATTCTTAGTGCTGGACAGAGAGAGAGAGAGAGAAAGGATGTGTGCGACAGATTCTTCCTATTCTCGTCGCTGCGCGCTTCGACACAAATTATTCAAAAATGATCTCATTATCCTTTCGTTAAGTTCTTTGAAACAGTTTCCAGTTAGTATGACAGTTGTTGTTTTGATGGTGAATCGCTCTAAAATTTTTAGACTCCTTTATATTTTGACGTCCAACACAGGTCAAAGCTGTCACGTTACAAGTTATTTCGTTAAGCCGTCTGGTGTTGGCTATTTTGGTGAATCCAGCTTAATCACAACTTTTGCCTGGGATGTCCCCATGTCCGGATACCTATACCTCAGCTGTCTTGCATTTTACCGAGTGCTTGTTTAAAGTACTTCGAAATTTAATACCACTTTATATGCGCAGTAATTAAATTGCAGAGATCTGATGGCAGCTAGACTGTCCGAGTATATGGTGATTGATTGATTTGTAACCAGAGAGTTGATGGCAATAAGTTAGTTGAGTACTTGGAGGGAGTATTCTACAGCTTACCCTAGTTTATTTTCTTATTAATCACTGTCCGGAATTCCTTTGCTGTGAAGATTGTGAAAGCAGAAAAAACGAAACGGTTTATTCTCCTTGTAAAAATAACCATTTCGGTGGGACATCTAGTCGAGTTATCTTATCACTTACCAGTTTCCTAATATGTGTGGAACATTTTAGAGAAAATAGCCTAAGATTTGCGTATGATTCCCTGCAACTGTTAGTGTAATACCGTCGAAATCAGCATGATCATTATGAGGTATCACAGTGGAGATAAGACAATCCCTTGAGGCGTACCTCTTGTGGAGTTCGGGTCGAGTAAAGGTGCTGCTTGAGCTCTTTGTTCGATATAGGGTGTGTGTGGTTCGATTTCGAAAAGCAGCGTGAAAGAAGTGGTTGACTAACGTGAGTTTGCTATTTTGATCCTCAAAGAAGTGTTTTGGTAGGATTGTGCCTGTCGGTCAAATCGCTCCTACTTGCGACTCTTTTTTCGGCTCTGAACTTATAGCGACTCGGAGTGTAAATCGTCGAGTTTTACTTCAAGTAATTTTTAATATATTGGATGAGTGCATAAGTTCGTGCCCGATTTCAAGTGCAAACTATTGTAAAATTGAAATTTTTTGAAGAAAGTGCTTTTATTAATCAATTATGTATTCGCCATCATGTTTGGCAATCCACTCCCAACGTTCAACCAATTTAAGGATGCCTAATTCATAGAAATCGCGCGGTTTCTCGTTTTTCATGACCAGTCACGAGCCGATCCAAAAAAGGTTCGTTTGTGATCCGTCGAAGCAAAGAAATCGCTGTTGACATACGGTCCACTTTGTTTTTTTCACTCAACTGATGTGGCACCCATGTATCGAGCTTCAAAGTGTACCCAACCTTTTTTAAACGACGAAACGTAGTTGATTTATTGACGTTCATTTCACTGGCAACCTCTTCCGTCGAAATACGTGAGTTATTCGCAACTAAAGTCCTTAGAACATCGTCATCAAGCTCAGAAGGCCGTCCACTGCGAGGTTGATCTTCGAGGTTAAAATCTCCAGAACGAAATTTCGTGAACCGTTTCTTTACTGTGCGGAGTGCTGGAGCACGGACCAAATAAACTTCGCGAATATCTTTAGTTGCAGCGCCTACTGTTTTTCCTTTTTCATTGTCTATCTTCCATGCGTCTTTTCACTAAGCAACTCAAATCAAAATGAAGTTATTTTATGCTTGATTTACAGTTCGGACTGTCACCTTTCCAACGATATATAATATGTATATATTTCTTTCACGAGCGCCACTCTCAAACCATTCGAACGGCATCCAGCGGAATCGGGCACGAACTTATGCACTAATCCGAGTGTAGCCGAGCTTAACATACAGATCTAGCCGGCTTTCCTTCAGCCTTACTGTGAAAAAAGATATCGCGATCCAAACTTTCTTAAGTGCGGAAATTGAATTTAGCGATAAGCGAAGACTAACCTGCGCAACTCTTTGTTTAATTTTCCTGTGCTTTCCATCTCTTTCTTGGTCACAACAAACCTTTTCACAGAACTTAGTAAACCACATTGAATATTCAGTTCATACAAACAAACCGGGCCTTCAGTGTACTTAGTACTTATAACTTTGAATTTCTTTACCAAGTTTTCTTGGGCAGGATCTCTCGATTTGACCAGTGTGGACTTGTTCAGCCGTAGCAGCTGAGTGATTAGCATGCTGGGTAGAGAGTCATGGGTTCGTGCTCTGTACGGAAACATACCAAAATTATCGAACAAATGTGTAGTAGCGATCGCTCCTCAGCAGGGAATTCGATCCCCGGTATTTCTGGCTCAGATACAACTGTAGACTTCTCCGTTTTATTGCTAGCATCAGGATCCAAGACTCACATCAGAAATTGAAGGATGAGTTCGACCTAAAATCGCTTCATGGGTTAAAAAGCACCAGCTTTATAGTACATAGATATTACAAATCCATTCCCCAAAACTTATTTCATTTTATTTATATAATGACTCGCTTCTCTTTTAGATATTTACCACCATCTCACCGATCAACAGCTGCAGAATGTTAAGATTTTGGTGAATCTTTGAAATTAGAAATCTAAAAACTGCCGAAAAAAACTTGCCAGTCCCTTGTGATTCAAATCAAAATGTCATTAAATCAGGGAAAATATAAGCCAAGCATTTGCGCCATCGACGAGGTTGACGATCGCAGTATCAAAAACGATGATCTCCAAAAGCAACAGATCGAGGGTAGCGAGACGGCGCCTTTGACCACGAACCAACAGAAATTACACATTGAACCGAGCACTCGCACGGGGAAGGATGTCGAATCACAGATCGATGATAATATCGGTGGCAATGGCAATAGCAAAACGGATGCACATGCTGGCGATGCAGGCGGTGCAGCTGCTAATGGTTTTCGTGGTGAGTTTTTCAAAATCATTTTAATCATCTCATCCAATAATAACGGAGTTTACTCATTTTCAACTCTCATTTCATCTCTACGCACACCACAACACACACACCCACATTTATGCTGGCATTTCGTTCGTATGCCGCTAAAAGCTTTCCTACTTCCAGGTCGCCTCTCAATGGACGCACTCATGCAATTGTCACGTAAACGTCGCATTCTCTACATAACGACTGTCTGCTTTTGTGCCCTACTCTTAGTCATAATTGTTATGATGATTGCTTTCTGGCCAGATGTGCCTTTCTATTTCCGCGCCGAGCTGTGTCTTGAGAAGGAATGCGTACAGACTAGTCAACAGTTGTTATTATGGGCCAATATCTCTAAGAATCCCTGCCATGAAACGTACGAATGGGCGTGTGGTAATTTTGAGCGTGAATATGCGGAGAATGATTACTATGTAATAAAACGCGGTGAATGGAATTATAAGACGTACAATGAGTATGAGGGTAAGACAAATGACATTTGAATACCTTTTATTGTTTCTTTCTATTTTTGCTTTCTCTTGTATGTTTGCGTCATGAAAAGAACTGAATGAACTCAACCGTTTCATATCGATGCTGCCCACGTCTGGCTCCTCGGACACAGCAGAGTCTATGATTTCCAGTTTATATAGATCGTGTCGTGAAATCGATACGCTTGATAAGAGTCAATCGGATTTGTTGCTACGAAAGGCGATTAATTTTGTGGGTGAGTTCGTATTCATTACTATCTGGAGCTAAAAGAATGAGAAAATGAAAGCGTAGGCAGAGCTATACTGTGCGCTTGAGGGTACGGAAAGAATTAATTAGAAAGTAATTGTCTTGTGTAACAGAAGTTAAAAAGTTATGGACACTCAAATGTACATACCTACATACATATATATTTGAGTATGTAGTCGCTGAGGCACAATTTTCGCCTTTATTTCATTTCATAATTAAGTTCATTCTTGTACTTGCGAGGTAACCCCGCTTAGGAGCAGGCAGAGATAGCCGATATTATTGGGTATTTCGTGGTTTCTTGGCCGCTTTGCTCGGGTCTTGCGAGACAGCTGGAGCTCTTTGTCTACTATGCGTATTAATGTAGATTTTGACAGACCCTGTGAATAGCGCTTGGAAGTTGTCAGTGGCACGTCTTGAGTTGTTGTAATAACCGCACAAATAAGCCACAAACTGGTTTTCGGGCTAAGTGACAGTCCTCGGCTTATAAAACTCCAAGTCGTTCTGATATAAAAGTCCAATTATCGCGGAATCTATTTGATTTTAATAGCCCCCTATGACAGGTATACCTTACCGCGGGTAAGCCCATGCATCTCTAACCCGAAATTGATGTCGGCAGGATTCACGTTCAACTGTACCATGTTCGAATTTTGAATAGACTCCGGTGGTTCGGTTTCTAGCAGCTGTTTGCAAAGATGATCACTGCGGTAGCATACCAGCAGATGCTTTAGGAAGTGCTAGCCTGATAGCCAATAATGAACCCGCTGACAATATTTTAGAGTGAAGAGCACAGCACGCACTTACCTAGGCTAGGAATGTCCTCTAAGAACTAATCCTCATTAACATAAAACGTAGAGCATTACATTGTGCTATGGTAAGACCACAAAGATTTTTTAATTAGAATTTGTTAAGAAGAAGAGTCTGAGCATGACTCTCTCCACTTACGAGTTATTCAACGCTGAGGATAACATCAGATGGAAGAGTTTCAATTATTGCATTGTGACCAGAATAAATTGGTCGACATGGGATAAAAGAAGCGTATCTCCCTAAAAGAAGGGAGAAGTTTACAATTAAGGTTCTTTTTAGGGGTGATCTTGTGTTAGGTAAGCATGAAAGACTGGGCGTACCATCTAACGATTTCTGTGGGCATTGTAGAGAAGAGAAGGAACCTAAAATCTTGAGGAACTTCCTTTGCGAATGCCCTGCTCTTTCAGAAGTAAATTTTTAGGAATTCGGAAACGTTTAGATATTTGAACGAAATGGCGGGTATAAAGATATGCCCACTGCCCGGGTTGGATTTGACTAGCGTGGACTATTGGAATCAGAATGAGCTCATTTGGTTGCCTAAGTGAACTGATATCCAGCAGCCTCTTTAGCTTAAACTCTTCTAGGGTGGCTTCAGTGAGGCAAGCCAGAGGGTTAAGTGGAAATTACAAACCCAAGTTTACTCATAGTGAGCTCCAAAAATGGGAAGGCCTGTACCGATTTACCAAGGTGTTGTTGGGAACTGTAATGCTGATAAGAATTCACGCTTAGGCATCTCTGTCAATAGGCTTCAACCAGCTCACTGAGCGCTGCTCCATTTGTAAGATCCAATATAAATCACGGAAATTTGGAGAAACTCCATTCCATCCCATCCCAATTCCAATGGACTTATACATGGTGTGAGCTCAAAAAATCGAAGTTGTGTTAAAATGGAAACATGTAACTGTCAGCGTTGGCAAGGCGTAGACTGAAATTTTTCGTACCAACTGAGAGCTTGGAAAGAGAAGTTCGGCTGAAAATCACCTCAGCTATCGAATGGAAAGTTGCACAGCCGTGATATGAAGGATATCGTTAGCTGATTTCTACATATTTAATCTTATAAAATTTCCGAAAATGATCCGAGTCGTAATAGCGACAGTCTGGTCTTCTTAAGGTCTAACTTGTCTTTTTTCTAAAAGACCACGATAAAACTGTTGCCATGCATGACCCTCCCTGAGACCAACCTACCGACTAGTCAGAGGTGATGTAGAGTAAATGGCTTGGATAAAAAAAAAAACCCTTTTATTCTTGACAAGTTTTCAGTTTATAGAACAACAGTTCCGGGCCTAAAGAATAGGCTAGGTTATGCTGATAAACCACTCAAAGAGTTACATATCTATCCTTACCAGATATCAGCCGAAGAGGTTGAAGAATGAAATCGATTTTTCGATTGGTAATATTGAGATCGTTGAAGATAAGGCTTGGTGATGATATATGCATGGGACAAAATATACCGTTATTGTTATTAACGGAAAGAAATCGTTCCTGAGCCCAGCTCCAATTGGGTTCCTCTTGGATTTTATGTAAAAAATATATTTTTGGTTTTTTTTTTTAATAAAATTCGTTTAATTAATAAATCGCGTGTTCTCTAACAAAATTCGTTTATCAAACATTAATTGGAAAATTGCCTTTATGTCTATTTTCACACCGTTTTGGAAGGTGGCAAGTAAGTGGAGGACTTTGCGCCATTCGAAGCGCCATGGTTAACAACACCAAAGTTTGAACTAGAAGCACCAACAAAACCACCGCCAATGCCAGAACCGCTAGCAGAGGCATAACTGCTGCCACTACCGATACCAGTGCCATGCGAACTAGCGCCTTGACCACCAGCACCACCGGCACCACCAGCACCGCCATCAAAAATGCCAATAACCGATTGCTGCTGACCAATACCGCCGTCGGTGTGCTCAGATGTGCCTTCGATTTTGTCATATTCAGCTTGAATTTGCTGCTGCGCATGCTGAGCTTCATCCTCGGTTTTATATTTGATAAAGAATACCTCAGGTTTAGCGGGCACAGTGGGTGCGGGCGTGGCAATGTCGTTGACCTCAAGTGATGAATCCTTCTTCGAGAGCACATAAATGACGGTCTTTTCTTCTTGTGGCGCATACTCAGCTGAGAGTTTGACATTAGCCGAGCTGGATGATGGCGCTTTAATGAAGACAACGCGATAATTCTTTTGTGGACGGCCAATAACAAAGTGTTTGGTTTTCTCCAACGATTCATGATCTTCAGGTGCCGAAACGGTAATGAATTGTTTGTGCACCAAAGTGGGTTCAAAACCGGCCGATTGTTGTTGTCCGCCGAAGCCGCCAGCATTGTAGCCACCATTTCCGAAACCACCGAAACCAGCACCAAAGTTACCGCCACCAATGCCGCTACCGAAACCCACATTGCCACCGCTGCTGCTGTGACCGTAACTGCTGCCTTTACCCAAACTGCCGCCGCCGACGCTCTGGAAACCGCTAAAGCTAGGTCCATTGCTGCTGGCGCTGCCAAAGCTGCCAAAACCGCCAACACTGCCGCCATGCGGTGCGCCTAAGCCACCAAGTCCACTCAGACCGCCTCCAAAATTGCTGCCACTCTGATAGGAGCCACCTTGTGCGCTACCACCCGAGATGCCAGTGCCGTAATTGTAACCTTGTGGCTTGCCATGTGCAATGGTGACCAAAGTGCAGCAAAGTGTCTAAAATGGGAAGAAAGAAAAGCGTTTATTTGTGCTTGCCGTGTAATCCTTTTGACTTTCTTACCAAAAATAGACGCATTTTCAGACAAAAGTGTTTGTTTGTTTTTTGTGTTTTAGAGAAACTCCTACGGTTTGTTGTTCACAGCTTAACTGATGTCTTCAATTCAGCTGATTGCAGCTTTTATAGCCACCAACTAAGATTACGCAGATAACTACTGGTTTATCATTGCAATTTAGCCAACGGCTCAACGAATCAAAAGCTGATAAATTAAAAAATAAATAAATAAATAAAAATAATAATAATGAAAAAAAAATAAAAGAAAATTAAAAAACAAATTACTTAATAATTATCTCTTGTATATATATTTATGAATTAGCTAAAATTTCTACTGTCCATCAGTAATTTTTGTTGGTTCTCCATTTCTGATTTCCTCACTGATTAATTGACGTCTAATTATGAGCGTTGGTATTCAATGCCTAAGCTTATTTTGTCATGAGTCAATAAACAGACATATGAAGTGTTTTAGATTGAGTTGCTGGGCATGTTCGTCTTAATCACACTTCCATAATCGGCACAAAAACAAACCGTCCCACTATACCAGCCCCTCTGCTGTTTATTTCCCAAAATATTAAGTTTTTTCTTTTTCTTTAAACTTTTTTTTTACTCTTTTGCATGTTTAACGGTGTTTTTTTTAGTTAAAACTTCATACTTAATATTTCATGTGTGCAGCTGACGAACTTTGACAATTTAATCGTTAATAAATAATTAATTATTTCTTAAAAATTGCAGAGCTAAGCTTAAGCTCTCACTTCTTTACCCACTCTTCGCGAAAACAATGCACATACAGCGTTGCAATTGCGTGTAGAGGGACGCATTGTGGGGCGTTATAAACATCATTCATTCATAGTGAAACTCGCCGCCTCTGACAACTCTTTGTTTTAATCACTTGTCGCCCCAACAAATAAGCGAATAAATCAAAACGCCTCGGTCGCTTATCAACAGTGCTTTGTCTTAGCGGTTTTGTTGTGGATCATTTTTACCTTTGAATATGCAAATATTATGACAATGTGTCTATTCGTGTGTACACTGATTCGTCATGCGTTCGCCAATGGCGCAGTGCGTTCATGGCTCATTGGGTTGGACTTAGTGAAGCTCAATGCTGCGGCTGTCTTGATGAGCTCACTGTCGGTCTTTTGTCTTGCGTGGGATTGCAACTGCAAAATTTAATAAAATTGCTTATCAGGAAATATAGATATTCATATGGACGTATATTTATTTATTGTGAAGGAACTGGTTTCTTAGTTGAATTCTCGGGAGAAAATTGGTAGCCAAATATTTAAGCGAATGTATAAATAAATGAGATGTCTTTTCTTCACTGTGCTGAGTTGAGTAAAGTTGTACGTCACGCTATAATACAGTTTTTAATTGCGAATATTCATCAGCAGGATCAAAAAGACAAGACCTTCAAGAAATAATAAATTAAGACAAGATTTGGCTGATGATCTAAATTGTGAATCGAAAGAGTAAAAGCCCTTAGTCAGCTCCGGTGTGTAGAACCAGCTGTCGTGAGATCCCGGAAATCCGCTTAGAAAGGGTTATCAATAAAGAGATTAGGCGTAAAGTTGATCAACATAAGCGGAACAAGTCAGAAGTCCTGCAAACTCCCCTCTGAGGCAATCCAGTTCTGGTCAATCAAGTTCTGGTCACAGTCAAATCGTTGTCTAACCCGACGAAACATGATAACTTCGTCGAACCCAAAAAAGTGAGAGAGCTAGTTTAGCTGACTTTTTACACTACACCTTTTGGTAGAGAAAACGAAACGGCAATCTGCGTAAATTACAAACACCAGCGTCGCGCTTGATTTCTGCAAGAACAATGTTGAATGGGTCATCGGAAAGACGAAAACCTCCAAACATATCGGCTCGGACGGAAAAAGCACGCTGATGCCAAAAAATGTGGGACCAACGGGAGCAGACTACGTCACCAAGCTTCGCCTTTGATCACCCTAATAATACCCGATATGTGGAAAAGTCAGCAAGGGAGAATCATATCGGCCGATACCTCTCCTTTCCTCAGTAGCGAAGACAGTAGAGGCCATGCGGCTCCCGTCTTCTACATATCAACTGAGACCAGCAGCATTAGAGCATAACTTCCAAAAAATGCATAACATCACAACCATATACAATATAATGCTACAAATACAATGGACTATGTATGAACCAAGCCGTTTTTGAAGCACTGGATCTGCCATTAGGGCCACAAGTGCTACTATCGGACATTGAGGATTACTCAGTAACGCCAAGGTTGAAAAGTGTGGAGTTATATTCCACAGCCTGCACTACTTCACTACCTATACGACTGCAGTAGTCGGCGGCACTTGGGAAAAAGACACGGAAATCTTGCTCTTAACATACGAGACAATTGGCTGGCCGGCCGTAAACTACGCTGCTACGATTTGAGCGCCAGTGTCCAGCGAAATGCGGATGAAAGAGTTACAAGCACCCCAACAGACATAAGGAAGGAGGTCTTAGACTATACAGACCATTTTAGCACCCTATACAATAACCAATGGACTGAGCGGCATACCGACAGGTTTACCTTCTTGAACTCTCTTTCAGTGAACGGCGTTCTCTAAATCGAAGCACCATCCGAGTAATACTGGCCCAATTTAGACATGGATATTTTGGTGAACTTAATTCCTATTTGTTCTTCATGTAAAGATACCCCGCACGACTATAACCACCTCATTGTATGTCCATGAAAAACCTACTCATTTTACACAATTTTTCTTCTCACAATGTTCAGAAAGATATTGTCATTTTGACAGAACCCGTCTTTGTATCCAAAATAAACCATGCTCACGATACAAGTCTACCCTTGTCCAGAGTTTATGCTAAAACTAGCCCTTGCCGAGCAAATACTAGATGGCTGAATGAAATCACGTGCAACGTAACTAGACCAGCCCCAGCCATGATTAGAATTGGAGGCAAAGAAGAGAAAGAGTTTATTGGACACCACTTCTGCTACTGCTCAGCCTTAAAGCCTGTTCATGTCTCGTTGTGCTAGCTGCAGCGAAATTTGGTAATCTCGTTGCTTTCATATCGCATCCAAATGGTTTGGCACATTTGAGAAGGTGGAGATAGGAGCTTCACATAGATATGTTTAAATTAACAGAAAACTACTCTACTCTACGGGTAGTGAACCAGGCACTGGTCTATTCGAAAAAATCGTTTTATGTCTCGATTAAGTTGAAATTCACTACCTAGATCATTTTATTATTATTTTTTTTATGTAATGGAAATGAACCAGAGTTCGATTTACTCAAAATAATTAGTTTGATTTGAAAATAGGTATAGATTGAGCTTAGGTATGTTCGCTTCGCATTTAGCAGGAAGGGAACGATTAGCGACTTGTAGAGTTTGGTTTTCGTTCGCCGGGAGAGGACTTTATTTTTCAATTGCATACTCAGTCCCAGTTCAAGGCTGACGTTATTATTATTGGTGTTGATGCTGGTTCCTAGATAGACGGAGTCATCTACGAATTCAAAGTTATGACTGTCAACAGTGACGAGGGAGCGAAGTCGCGAATGCGATGACTGTTTGTTTTATGACAGGAGATATTTCGTCTTGTCCTCGTTTACTACGAGACCCATTCACTTCGCGTCTATATCAAGCCTGGAGAAAGCAGAAATAACGGCGCGGTTGTTGAGGCCGACAATGTTGACATCATCGGCGTACGCCAGTAGTTTTACACTCTTGTCTATTAAGCTCTGCAGCTCTTATTATTATCTCCAGCATTGAATTGGAGAAATCACACTACAAAGAGCCAGCTTGTCTGAAACCTCGTTTGGTACCGAACGGCTCGGAGGGGTCCTTCTCATTTCTGACTGCGTTTCTGGTGTGTCAGCTTACATAGCCCTAAAAGTTTTGCGGGGATACCAAATTCAGACATAGCGGCGTAAAGGCAGCTCCTATTCATGCAGTCGAAGGCGGCTTTAAAATCGGCGAAGAGGTGGTGAGTGTCGATCTTCTTTTCACGGGTATTTTCTAAGATTTGGCGATGGTGAATATCTGGTCATTAGATTACTTACAAGGTCTGAAGCCACACTGATAAGGTCCAATCAGTTTGTTGACGGTTGGCTACAGTCTTTCACACAATACGCTCGACAGAACCTTATAGGCGATATTAAAGAGACTTATCCCACGGTTATTGGCGCATACTGTGGCGCCCCTTTTTTATGGATTGGGCAGAGCACACTTAAATCCCAATCTTCGGGCATGCTATCGTCTGACCATATTCTGTAAAGTGGATGATGCATGCACCTTGTCAGCTCTTCACCGTCATATTGGAATAGTTCTGCCGTTAGGCCGTCAGCTCCCGCCTTTTTTTTGATTTTAAGCAGCCAATCGCTATTCGAACTTTGACATAGTGAGGTAGTAGAACGTCTGTTTCATCGTCATCCGATTGGGATTTTGGGCTCACCATCTCCGGGTATTTAATTTTCACTGCCGCTCAACAGGCTGGAGAAGTGTTCCCGCCATAAATTCAATATACTCTGGGCATCGGTGGCTAGATCACCTTTTTGTGTCCCACAAGAGTCTGCTCTGATCTTGAAACCTTCTGTAAGTCGTCATAACTTCTCATAGAATTTTCGAACATTACCTTTTTCGGCCAGCTTCCCAAGCTCTTCATACTCACGCATCTTGACCTCCTTCTTTTTTTGTCTGTAGATGCGTCTTGCTTCCCTCTTCATCTCTTGGTGTTTATCCCATCCCGCACGCGTTGTGGTCGATCGCAAGGTTGCGAGGTAGGCAGTCTACTTTCTCTCCACTACGATACGGCAGTCCTCATCGTACCAGCTTTTTTTGCGACGTTTCCGAAATCGGCACACGGCATCCGCCACCACATTGAAAATCGGTGTGCCCATTATAAGCTACGTCATATTATTCAGAAACTCAGAGGAACGCAGTAGAATCAAGAATTCTGAGCGGATCTTTCAAAGGTGAAAAGGCATCCTCATTCATCGAATCGCTATCATTCCGTCCCATACTGCCTTCCAATTCAAGCGACTACCGTTCCCAGTTCGACTAGTGCTTGCGATCACTTAAACAGCTCAGGGTCAATTTAGATGCGGAATACTTCGCATATGTACAATAGAATTGTATGTTGCATGTTCTGGAGCTGTCAAACCAAAAAATCTTTTTATTTGCTTGAGCGATGGTAAAACTAACTCACAAGTATTAAATCAATAAAAT